CTTTTTAAAGTCACGCTTAACAAGAAGAATTGAACTAAAAAAAGAACATTTAATTAGCCACAAGTTTACCAGAAAAATCAATTAATCAGAACACCTCATTCCTACAGTGAATAGAGACTTTATTGTAACTAGATGTAAGTAGATTCATAACTCACTTTACACAATAAAGGTACATGAAAAAGTTGCATGCAAATCATATTTTCATTTCTTTAGAAATTTTAAGTTCCTCAAGAAATGGGCCCTTTGTGGAATGATAGTCCCTAGCACTTAGCGACACCAACTTTAACAAGTAATTCTATTAAATTCTATTTAAAATGTGCTAGGGAAAACACTAAATATCAAGGAATTCTGTATATCCCAAAATACAGTAAAGAGTACAAATTTATTTTTAAATTCTGAAATATGCAAATGCAGATATTAGGGTCAGATGCTAGTTACTGATCTTCCTACCTAGATTTTGGAGTGTCAAGGTAGGCTTAAACCTGTCATATCTCTCAGACTAAAAAAGGAAAAAGAATACTGAGAGATAGCAAGCTAGTAGGGAAGTGAATCTAACCTAGACTGCTAATAAAAATTAATAAAAGTTTACGGTTATATTATTATAATACAACTAGAGGTCCAGTGAACAAATTTGTGCATGGGTGGAGTCCAGCTGGCCCACCCTGATGGGGGCCCATTGGGCCGCGCTGGTGGGGAAAAGGGGCTGCAGCTGGCTGTGGGGAGGGTCCGTGGGTGGTTGGTCGGCCAGCCCCACCCCTGATCATAGTGTTGGGGGCTGATTGGGGATGGAGCCAGCCAGGAGGAGGGGCCACAGGCAGTTGGCTGGCCAGCTCCACTCCCAATCGGTGTGTTGGGGGCTGAATGGGGGTGGGACCGACCGGGGGGGGGGGGGAAGGGCCGCAGGTGGTTGGCCGGCTGGCCCTGCCCCTGATGGGGGTGTTAGGAGCTGATTGGGGGCAGGGCCAGTCAGGAGGGGGGAAAGGAGGGAAAATTGGGGCCCGGATCAGGCTAGTTGGCTGCCACAGTGTGCATCATAGCCAGTCATTCTGGTCATTCTGGTTGTTCTGCCATTCCAGTTGTTGGGTTTTTATTATTATAGATGCTTAGAATAGTGCCTCACACATATGCAAGAGGAACTCAGAAAATAATTTGGGTTAAATTTTATACATGTCAGCTTGACAATGTATTGAAATTTTTATGCATTCTGACCTACAAATTCCATTTCTATAAACTTATTATAAGGAAATTGTTATAGATCTACATACAGCTTTATGTATAGAATGTTTCGACAAAGTACTATTACAGTAAACAAATTATTAGAAATAAGCTAAATTTAAAAAATTTACGAAATTTGTACATTTGATAATGGTACATTCATACAACAGAATATCTGAGACACCAATAAGAATTCTGTGCAATGTTATCCAAATAGTCAGTGGTGGCGTCAATATTCAAATTCCAACCCATATGATTCAATATACATTTCTAAGTATGTACAGAAACATTATGGTGACTTAAAGCTGGAAAAGGAAACAGTAAAATGGAGACCGAATCAGTAACCACAATTAGATATCAACAGGCCTATATGATAGACTAGATCAACAAGATGAAAGTTAAACAGGCATATATATACCTGCAATTGAATCCCAAAAGTCTATATGCATAAGTACAGTTTGGGAAAAGACATACCTTACCAGTGGCTCATATAAAAAATTTAACAAATTTTAAGAACTACAAGTTCATTATGTCATGGTCAAAGGTAATTTTGCTAAATTTTATACATGAGATTGATTGTTAGGACACAAAATAAAAAAATATATAAAGTATATAAAAGTGAATGTGATCTTAGGCAGCTTCAATATAAATATATTATCTAGAACAGAAGTCAGAGTCTGACTCAATGGAGCAGTGGTCAAAATATTTAAACCTGAGGAAAATGCTAATCATCCCAAATATGTATGGCAAAGAATGATTAAGAGAGTTAAGGAACTGCCTGGCTGGTGTGGCAGCAATTGAGCATTGACCTATGAACAAGCAGGTTATGGTTCGATTCCCGGTCAGGGTACATGCATGTGTTGTGGGCTCGATCCCCAGTATGGGGCATGCAGGAGGCAACAATCAATGATTCTCTCATCATTAATGTTTCTATTTCTCTTTCATTCTCCCTTCCTCTGTGAAATCAATACACACACACACACACACACACACACACACACAAACACACACTACTAGTGGCCCAGTGCACGAAAGTCATGCACGGAAGGGGGGTGTCCCTCAGCCTGGCCTGCACCCTCTCCAATTTGGGACCCCTCGGGGGATGTCCGACTGCCGGTTTAGGCCCGAGCCCACAATCAGGGAATGCTGGCTCTTAACTGCTCACCTGCCTGACTGCCTGATCACCCCTAACCACTCTGCCTGCTGGTATGCTCACCCCCAACTATCCCCCCACCTGGCCTTCTCGCCCCCAACTGCCCCCCTCTGCCAGCCTGCTTGCCCCCAACTTCCCCCCTCTGCCAGCCTGCTCACCCCAAACTGCACACCTTGCTGGCCTGATT